AACATGTGTTCTGTGCTGAACATGCAAGTGATCTGCCCTCCCTCAGTGACACAAAGCTCCCCTCTGTAAATCGGAATCGGATGAATGTTTGAGGGGCTGGCGATGGTGACATCATCCACGGCCACACCTGCACTTCAGAGCCTTGCTAGTATAAGGACAGACATCCATGAACGCCAGCCCCAATTGTCTTCTGGTCCCAACCATGCTAAACGGTTAAAAATGCAGTACAAATGAATCAAATGAAAACAAAGGAAACTACATTAGTCATTAAAGAAAAACTACATTCCAGAGTTTGGTTTGACTGGGAGCTTTCACAGCAGGAAGCGGTCAAAGATGGAAAACTGGCGTTGAGGCGACTTGTTCACACAACAGTAGCTCATAGCACATTTCGCTGGAAGGTGGAGGACGGGGAAGAGGTTAAGTTGATACTGTGGCTCAGTCTCCCAGGGCATGCCATCGTGAATGAGAATTTGGCTTGACCTATATACCTGTAATATTTATTTGAAAACAGTAGTCAGTGGATGGATAACGGAGAGTTAAAGAAAGTAACCTGTAAGGTTTGACCTCTACACCCCCCCCTCGACGGCCCTGTAGAACATTTTTGTGACACTGCTAGATCTAGAAAGGTTTCCTGAAAGGGAGCAATCCAGCTTCCTCCTGATGTCACTGATGTCACAAGTGCTAATGCCCTTTGCGTCATAACAAACTCAGTGAGTAAAGAATTCTGCCCAGCAGGTTTCTTTATGAAACAAATAGGATAACTGGCATTCAGTTGTGCCATGCCCATCTACCACTACAAAGGAGAAACACTAAGCTAAGAATGTCCTCATTCAGAAATGTATGATTTTATCAGTTTTCCAGAAAAAAAAGACACATCACCCACATTAAAGAATGAAAGCTTGGGAATATTTGGTAAAATCAAGTTCTGGCTCCCAAACAAGATGCAAAGGAGCTGGGATATAAGCGCAGTCCTCTCTGATCACGTACTAATTTAGCCCCATTAAGCTCCAAACAATCGTCTGACAAAGGCAGAAGTAAAAACAGGAACACCATCAAATAAATGCTGATAGCTTGGTGACACTGTTCCACAGATTACTTTAGATGATGCAATGGGGCTTCAGGACTCTGGACGATCTAGGAAATGCTGTTGGACTGGTACGATGGTGAGAAAATTTGCATTTAAAGGAGTGTCCGACGCAGCCATTTTCACGAGAGCCCACGTGATAACATCACACACTGCATCGACAGGGCAAAGCCAGTGTAAGTACGGTGAGGTTCAATTAGTGATCTTCACAATGACTGTAAGTTAGGGAGACTATGAAGATACTGCCAAAATGTGAAAGTGATTAACTGTAATTGTTGATACACCACAGCACACAACAACAAAATGTGCCTTCTGCATTTAAGTCATATGTGACATAGCAGGGGGCAGCTAATTCAGCAATTCGTGGGGGTGGTACCTTGCTCATAGTCAGAGTACCTCACTGGTACCTTGTTAGCTGGGGATTTGAACCAGCGATGTTTCAAACTTCCGTCAAATATACAGAAAGGCTTAAGTTACGAAAGGGCTTTACCAAGCCATTCAGAAGCTTGTCCTTTAATGTCTTTCGATAAAAAGTCCAGGCCATTATGAATCTCTATTGTTTGAAAAATTTGTTCTGGAACATGAAATCGTTTGTTTCCCCTTTGCCCATCTTTCAAAGAAGCTTAGCACTTAGTAGATTTGCGCTGTTTGGGGTCACCGTATATCGACTTTCATAAGTTCACATATGTTCCTTGTTCAGTAGCAAACAAAAAATTCTCAGGTATTTAAGATTAGAGCAACTTAGGCAATGAAGATAGCAGAAAGGAAGCATCGAAACTCACGCTCATCGCGGGCTGGTTTCGCTCAAATGTCATATCTCCCCTTACCCGACAAAGACCAACTTGGGGCACTAATTCGATACAGTTGGCCCTCTGTATCCATGGGTTCTGCATCCACAGATTCAACCAGCTGCCGAGAGAAAACATTTGCAGAAAAAAAAAATCCAGAAAGTGGCAGAATGCAAAACTTGAATTGGCCACAGACTAATCTGAACCCATGCAATGGCTGCGACTGTACTGAACATGTAAAGACTCTTTTTCTTGTCACCAGTCCTTAAATAATACTGTATAACAACTATTCACATAACATTTACGTTATTTTGGGTATTATAAATAATCTGGAGATGATTAAAATTATACGGGAAGATGTATATAGGTTACTGTATATGCAAATATTGCACCATTTTATATGAGGGACTTGAGCATCCGTGGACTTTGGGTCCTGGAACCGAACCCCCGCAGATACTGAGGGACGACTGTACTTCCAAAGTCAAATTCTCCACTTTAAGTAGTATTAGCTCATTTTTGCCATTTTAGCATAACTGAAGATTTATGCCTAGCATAAGCTATGTTGTGTTTCCAGTGGTTAGCTATTAGTCCCTGTAGCAGATGCATCATTTAGTAGGTCATGTTGGCAGCTGAAGTAAAATGTAGAAAATATGCTCTGGCAGTGGATGTTAGTCTGCAAGACCTATAACCTACCCAGTGGAATCACATACAGTATACATTAGCCTGGGAATGCACTATATCAGTCCTGTATTGGTGACTCCTACATTGCTCATCCGGTCCCTTTCTCTGATGTTTCATATTTATCTAGGGTGTTCCCAGAATGCCTTGCAGGTCTTGGTGGCAGTGATGACACTTGCTTTATTTGCATTTTACTGCTCGCACATGAACTTGCTCTTCGAATGTCACGCAAAGGATTTGCATATTTGCCTATTTTGGATACAAAACCGCCAACTATTAAATTTTACTGAAATTATATATTCTATTGTAGAGCTAAGCAAACCACAAATGCTCTATTGCATCTATAAGTAGCACAAATTAACAGCCAGTCTGCAGATGTTCTCACTTGACTTCATTAGCTTAATAAGGTTATTAGAAAATATACCCCCATCCCAGGCAACAGAGGGCATGCTGTATTAGGTCTTTTGACCAATTTAGTCACCGATTCTGCTAACCGCAGATTTTTAGACTACATGGGAAAGCAGAGAGCTTTCCCATGAACATGAGGAGAACATGCAAACTCCACACAGAACCAGTGGCAGGTTTCAAATCCCAAACCCAGGAAGTCTAATACAACAGGTCTGACCCACAAGTATGGGGGAAATGTTCTCTCGCTTGCATGTTACTGTTAAAAAATGAGTTGAAGCATTGTGAACCAACTATAAGCATGAGTGGGACACATGGCTACCGCCAACATAAAGGGCATTACAGTATCCAAGCGTGTACAATCATTTGAAAATCATTAAACGATAAAAAGGCTTGACCTTAGATAAGAGCCTCAGTTGAAAAACGCTACCTTTGATAACTGAGTTTATCTGTTTGTCCAATTTAAAATCAACCCATTATGACATTGATATTTTTTATAGTAGGTTTTACATACGGTTTCAGGGAATACAAGTTCAAAGAACATCACAGGCACCACTGGATTTAAATATCAGGACGTCAGTTTTATTCTTATTTAAGTTTAAAGAGTTTTGTGGTCATCCTAGCTTTGATGTCCTGGAGACAGTCCGACTGTTTCTAAAGAGTCTGTATCTCTATGTTTCAAAGGCAGGTAAATCTGAGCGTCATCAACATAACGGTGGAAACAGATGCCAAATTTCCAAAGAATGGACCGAGAATAGTACCCTGAAGGACATCGCAAGGTAAGGTGGATACCGGGTAACAAAGGCAGACAGGAAAGCTTCAGACCTGAACCAAACTTAAGTCCTGAACCACTCCAGAGAAGTGGCTTTAGTGCCAACACAATGGTCCATGTGATAGATGAGGATACGGTGGTCCACTGAGATCTAAAACATGAGAATGGCAGAATCCCTGCAGTCAGTCCCTAGTAAAAGATCGTTAAAATCTTTTAAAAGTGCAGATTCAGTGCTGGGAAGGGCTTTAAAATCAGACAGGAACATCTCAGAAATATTATGTATGTCTAAATAAGATTGCAAAGTACAACTTTCTCCAAACTTTTTGAAACTGGAGATTGAAAATTGGTCTAATGCTGGAGAGGACTGGGGTGTCCAAATAGCATTTTTTTATCACTACTGCTTGCTTAAAGGTTGTTGATACAATGCCTGAGGTGAAACCGCTGGACATCATTTTTGGCTGTTTGGTCCATTAGTGTCAAAAATCTCTTTTAAAAAAACAAGTGAACAACATATGTGGGACAGGCTGCAGATTTCATATTACCAATTATTTCCTTTAGAAAAGAAAGAGACACCGGCTCAAACTATAGTTAAAAACACCTCAGCAAATGACAGTGATGTGAGTGTCATAGGAAAGGCGTGAGATGAGTGTTCTAAATGTTCACAACCTTGTCACAAAAAACAGCCCAAAATAATGTGTGACATGATAGGGCCAAAGTCCAGGGTTGTGATGAGAGTAACTTTTCATGATCTTGGACTCACAGTTATCATTTGTAGGGTCACCTTAGGCTACTCTAGTGAGGAATAGCTTAAATACCTACTATGTGTTTATGTTATTCCATTTCAACAAACCTACTGTATAGCCACGTCAGATACATTCCATGACAGCAGGAAGTAAAAGCACCAAAGCAACAGAATCATACAGGTGGAAATGCTAAAGAGTTTACTGCTGGCAAACTTCGGGTTAAAAAAGAAAAGAATGATGAAAAACATAGATATCATTTAAAAAAATATATAAACATAACATTACTAAGTTGGTTATATGCCAGTAACGGTGATGTGCCATGTATCGAGGTTGGTAAATAAATGCTATTCATCAACATAATGGACCTAGTTGTAGATTGTAAACTTGTAAATGCATTGCCCTGGGACACATTCCCTTGCGCCCCTTTGCTGAGTCGCTAAAAGAATGTGGGATGGTTTAAAAAATCCTAAATAACCCAACTTCCTCTACAGTCCACTGGGAGAGAGAACAAGGGCAAAGACTGGCCCCGAAAAGAAGCGAGAATTTTTCGGACTGAAGCGCAGATCGGGAAGAAGGAGTGACTAAGGGGAGTGTGTGTGGCGCTGGAGGCGGGTTATTACTTTTAAAATACCAGTAACTTGTAAGTGCGGAGAGTACGGAGCTCGCCAGCCCCACCCAGAAATGTTAGCTCAAGGAACTGTCTTTATTTAATGTGCGCTTATCGACTTTGCCGCCGGACTCCAAAAACGAGAAGTGAGAGGCTGCTACTGCCAGTCAGCGCTTATAAAGTCGAATAAAGTGCAAATCCGCTTTACACTAATAGGGAGAGTCTGCAGCGCACCTGCCGGGCGCGGTAGACATGCCAGGAACCGGTCGCGTCTTAATATGAGCAGTTTCTACACCGCGACCCGCATGATGAGGCGGCCGTCGCTGCCATGCGTCGCCCTGACGGCTGTCCTCCTCTTTGCCGTCTCCGAGGTAAGCGCCTCGTCCTCAGTACTCCACGGAGCATCAGATTCCGCTCTCGCACGCTGTCCTCTGCGCTGCACCTGTTGCGGCAGGTATCTCTGTGGGCTGCGGATACTCAGTACGGGATTGAGGGCAGCTCGATCGGTTATGGGTTTCATTCAAGTTTATCCCTTATCCCTTATAGTTAAGGTCACTGGTGACATTTGTTTTTATACTTGCAGATATTTATTGTGCCATTCTCAGAAGTGTAAAATAAATTGTAGTTGATCCACGTTAGCCGACATTTGGACACGTAGATATTCTAGATTGCTGAAAAAAAACTAAACCTGTTTTATTTGCCGAATGCATTAACAGTATATAACCTACTATGAAATATGGTTTCTTTTATATAGTATTACAGACACCACAATATTGTCATATTTTATATCCAACCACCTTTTAGCTATGTTATTTACCTTACAGTAAAAACCCTCAAGGCAATGAAGTAATACATATCAGATATTACAACGACCAAGAGAAGGTGTTCAACATTTAAAAAATTTCTCAAATTTTAGACCCTTCAAATATCCCCCTTTAGCTTTGATGACAGCATCACAGACTCGTCATTCTTTCAACCAGCTTCCAGATATTGCCACCTGCAATGCTTCTCCAACAGTCCAGTTGGAGTTTCCACAAGTTCTGGGCACAAGTTGGCTACCTTGATCATACTCTTCGTTCCAATTCGCCCCAAACCAGCTTTATAGGGTTTAGGTGGGGGGATTGTGGGGGCCAGGTCATCTGTCACAACACTCCATCTCTGTCCTTGCTCACAAGATAATAGGCACTATGTAACCTCATGCTGTGTTTTGGGTCGATAATCTTTTGTGGATATATATATATATATATATATATGTGTGTGTGTGTGTGTGTGTGTGTATTCATATTCATTGGTTCCTACATCAGGCAGATAGGTCCCCAGCAGCATATTCAGGCGTATTAAATGTTATTGTTAGTGAAAGTCTTGCTCACACTGCACACCAGACCAGAAACTTGTTGTTCCCCTTCTTCTCTTTAAACATCAGCAGTTTCTGCATGTTCTTCTTTGTTTTTCGAATGCACTCAGATTGTGACAAGTACAGCATATGAAACCATGTGCTAAACTTTGCTCCACATACTTATTTACTATTTTCGCTTATCCTCAGGCATGACTATTTTTGACCTAGAGGCTTTTCTCTTGAATTTGTATTCATTTACCTGGTGATCTTTTCGATAGTGGTATTATTCTAGTAAATTAATGTATGTGTCAATAGCTACGCCCCAAGGTAGCCACTTAAAACCAAACATAAAGGGGTGAGCTTCTGTTAACTGAGCAACATTTCTGTATATTTTGTAGCTAAACAGAAAATAAGACTGTGGTAAGACTGAAGGTTGAGAACAGTAATTGTATGACATATTTTTTATGAAATGTTGACTGTTATATTTTACTTTAGTTTGTGATTACCTCAAAATGGCTTCATGTCAGAAGGAAGTATTGGTGAGTTTCTATAATGTTCATGCGCTCAGTGATGTAGCAGAGCCAGACTTTGGTGGTGTAGCAAGTATTAAGAGAGTATTGGAGGGTATGCTTTGGGGTTGTTTGGAGGACCCAGTCTGAAAAGCATAGAGCTTGTAACGCTCAGGAAGTACAAAACTCACAGTTCAGCATATTTTTGATCTTCTCGGAAAAGCTTATTCGTTGTGTGGAGGATCTTGCATGGGTTTTTTTTTTTCTTTCTCTTTCTAAAGGCCTCAGCAGAAAACACGACAGGGTGACAAATGACACCAATGAACTTTAGGCATCCATGTCCATGAAGTGCACAAGAAGCGACGCGGTACATTAAAGTACAAACCTGTTCAGGGTGGCCATAAATGCTGTGTGTATGCAACAGAGGTGTGGTTAGCAGGACCTGCTCGCGACGACAGCAGCTGATAATGCACTCCCCAGCATAAACAAAGCCTTGCTCTTCAGCCCAGACGGCTTGAGTTCATGGGGGCACACCTCAGAGTAGTTTACATCATCGCTTTCCTGTTATTCCCCATTTCCCTCACGACGCGTCCTCGTCCCAAAGCTCTGCCCGCGTCCCTCGTTCTATGGTTCCCCGCTGGAGCAGTTTGCCTTGCTAATCCAGCAATAACATCCTCTGAGGAACACTTCTTATTTTTTAGGAACCGGAAGGAAGCGTGGCGATGACTTCAAGTGCCGTCGCACAATGCAGCGTAGATTAGCTAGACAAGAGTGGTTCAGTATATGTGCCTTAAAGGGCATGTAATTAACAAAATGGAGTAAGAGAACGGAGGTGATCCAATACTGACTCACAATCTGACTGAGTTGGAGTTTGTGTAGATGCAGTTAGTGTGTCCGTCTTTTTGGAAGTTTGATCAAAGTAAAACAAGATTCCCAGTTGTCTGGAATATGGTATTTACTGTAACTCTTTAAGTCTGTGATAGTTCGGCTATGAAGAAGCGTGTGTGCCTTCGAACTGCGGTGCTGGCGAAGGTGTTTAACAATACCATGGTTCGTGGAGTAAACAAACAAGTGGATTCTTCATCAAATCAAACCTGAACAAGCATATTATGACAAGACCCAGGGCATTGGAAAATACTTCAATGCTTGTAAAATTTGAAGGTAAAAGTATAAAGGAATGATCAGAAATAAGACAGATGGTCTTAATTGTCTCGACAATTAATATACCTCTGGGAAGCCCGAAAATAGCGATTAGCATAACACCAAGTTAAAAGCAGAATTAGCTAATGGAAATCTGAACCGGCAGAGCAAGAGGATTATTCTTTTACAGGAAAGAGTGAAAACCTTGCAGCCGGGTGTCAAATCCCAGACACGTTGAGAGGAAAACTTGCATCTTCAGCGCGCCTGCCGGGCTGCCGGGCTGCAGACCTGCGCAGGCGGCCCAGTGTCTGCGTAACGTTTGCTGATCAAAGAGGCTGCCGCCCCTGTTTTGTTATTAAAATGAAACGAGATGACCCGGGCTGCTGAATCGTGTTTGTTTCGGCTGCTCATCCTCTACAGGTTCTTCCAGCATTGATGAATGAGCGGCATTGGTCCCTCAAAGTACATGCAAGTTCTCCTAATCGGCCTGTAATTAGCGGCCCAGGAAAGTACAGTGTTTGCATGAATGTCTGTAGGAAATCTGTGCAGCTAGCCTAGGCATTTACATAAAGGGTATTAACGAGGGGAAAATGGTGACGCGTGCTATCAGCAAATCGCTGTACTGTCTCGGAACAAAGAAGGTGCTCCTTCCTTATTCCTTATAAGTGTATTTCAGCAGTCTGACTATGCATAATTCTGCTCAAATGGGTCATTTGGAGACACAATGCAGTGTGTCGCTCCACCAAGTAGCAATTGTGGGAAAACATGGTTGTTTATGCAGAAACTGAGCTGCTAGCTCTTGGTCCAGCTGATGTATTTAAAAATATATAAATAAACTGTAGGGGTGGCATGGTGGTGCAGTGGTTAGCACTGTTATAACATACATCTGGGACTAGGGTTCCGGTCTCCTCTATGGCTCCATGTGTGTGAAGCTTGAATGTTCTCCCCATGTCGTCGTGTGGTTTTCATGAGGTACTCTGGTTTCCCCCCACAGTCCATAAACATGCTGAGGCTGATTGGAGTTACCAAACTGCCCATAAGTGTGAATGGTGTGTGAGTGTGGCCTGTGATGGGTTGCCGCCCCATCCTGGGCTGTTCCCTGCCTTGCGCCCATAGGCTCTGGATCCCCTATAAACTTTAATAGTATAAGCTGGTTCAGAAAATGGAGGGATGATCTTCATTGTCATGATGTTTTGTCTGTCAGAGTGTCAGCTTAGCCATTTTAAAACCTCTCCTAAAGTCACCCCAGTATTTGTAGCAACCATCCAATACACCCATATACTTTATTCTCTGTGATAGACCACCCATAACCCTGAATAGGACAAGTGGGTACAAAAAATGGAGGAATGAAAGTAGATTGAACTATTTAATTTGTTTTTATTTTATTTTCCTGTGTTATTAGCTGGAGTTGAACTAGTGTTGCCCCCTAGCCAGCGTGACACTATGCAGGCCCCTCCTTCATAATTGTTAGATGCCGGAAGTCCCTTCTGATCAAGCTTCTGGGGTACTTGGTCTGATACAGACTGGGAGGCACGTAAACCTGGGAGAAAGGAGGTTCCACCAGATGGATGAGGCACCTCATACGACTCCATACCTCTATGCTTTCAGCTGCATCAGATGGTGCTGTTGGGATCTTTGGATCCGTTTGATTCCTGCACTTGTCTTTTCAATGGAGGAGGGATGTAATACAGTATACAGGATGCATATTGAATCGGAGAACAAGGACGCTATTCATATCGCTGACAAAGCTTTAACTTGTTTTCTCAGGTCTTTCCTTTATTTTCATATAACTGTAGCAGTAAGTATTTAGTAAACTACTGTATTAATCCAAATTACCACTGTTTCTGGTAAGTATCTCAGTAGCAAACAGTTCACTTCTTTCTGTGATTTCTGTGTAAAATATCCTCTCAAACGTGGCCTCTCCAAGTGTAATTTTGGGGGATGGAGGGTAAACTCGACAAATTGCCATATTGCGTGTTCATTTCATACACAAAGAGTCACAGTCTTGTGTTGAACGTAAATGAGAATCTGCATTTTTTTCCTGCAGTCCAATGGGGTTATTGTCTGCTGGCAACTTATCTGTTTATCGGGAGTCTCTGAAGGCTAGAAGTTAGAAACGCATCTTCATGTCACTGATGGGAAGTAGCAGGGCTTGGTTCCCGTTATACCCCATGAAACATAAACCAGGAATTTGTGTCATCTCACGGAAGGGTACTAGTTCTAGAATTTCCACCTCCGATCAATAAAATTCATTCTAATTCTAATAAACCCATTCCTTTTGGCTTCAGCTTCAGAGGGTCAATGGTCACTATGTGTCTAGGGTCCACTTCCGCTTTATGCTTCACCCATAAAGGTACCAGTTTTCCATTAACTTTGTTGTTAGACA